TATTTACCTCCTCTGACAGCGAGACCGGCCATTATTAGAGACCCGGCCGCTATTGGAATACAGGCCAATATTAGAGAATTTACGGTAAGTCAAAATGTCTTAAATAAAAGGCATTTACCCTTAATTTGAGCAGAAAAGTAAGAGGATTTGCCAATGGAATGAGGATTTTTACTCTCAGAATAAGGAAATTAGATGATATACACTTGAAATAAGACAATGAAACAGGGTTTTTCTTATTTTAAATGTAAATTGTCTTGTTCCAATGGCAAATGGTTTCACTTGCCTCCTCAATTCAACATAAATCGCACTTGTTTTGGGAAAAAATGGCTTATCTAGATTAAGATTTTTTCCAGTGTATCTCATTTACCTACTCAAATTAAGGGTAAATAAGAGAATTAAAGAAAAATAAGAAATTTTGTAGATCTTTTTCCAATGTAAAGAAAAACAAACTTTTGCAAATCAAAAAAACGTTAACAATGGATCGCAAACAGATAAAGCAGGAATGCATGCGCCTGAACGTGACCTCAAAGCATGGCACCTGAGCGCAGTAAAACGGCGGCTGTTTCATGATTTAACTCGTCCAAATGTGGGAGATACCCCTCAAATCAGCCCAAAATATTGGTCTGTTACTTTGAAAAAGGTGCAGTATTTAATAAAGTCATTTAAAAGTAAAATGATTTTGTTTTTATTTACTTCAATTGTTTGTCTCTGATAGCCTATCGATTGCTCCCTCTGGGTGGTAAAGGTTTCTGCTCTGTTTTTCTGCGTCTCTCCGTCTGCTGCAGGAAGTGACAGGGCAGCGGCGGGAGATTAACAGGCTGCTGCAGAAGAAGACAGCGCTGGAGGACGACGGTGCTCTCATGAAGGAGTTGACAACTCTGCACAAACAGCTAAAAAACAAGAACCAGCTACTGGAGGTTGGTGGAAGGAATCTTCTGAGGCAGTCTGGGCCCCCGGGGGCCGATGTCTCTGCTCAGAGTGTCACTGAATACAACGTGTCCCCTGTGGCCTCTGAATTGTTAAGAGGAGACTGTTCTACTCTCTCTCTGTCTCACCCTTTCTCACCCAAAGCCTCCCCTCTGTCTGGTGGTAACACAGCAGAAACTCCCAGCAGAAAGTCTGGATACGATCGAATAAAGTAAGAAGAAAAAATCCAGGATTTAAACTCTCATATGAATATTTGATGCCTCCTTCAGTTGGGGAAACTGAAACACATGCATGCTATGATGTGGCTTTTCCCTAATTATGCTTCGATGGGACACGGTTATGATTAATTGATGGAGAACTGGTCCTTACATGGTCATGGTGGGGCCTCCTGATGGGATATAGTGGGGGACATCATCAAAGGGTACCTGGGTTGAGTCTAATGGGTCTTGTTGCAAACACCTTTCTCATTATAAGCTGTCATTAAAGCTGACAGACTGGCCCTTGTACCCGCATGAGCTGAGCTCCTGCAGCACGTCTCGGCCCATACCAACCAACAGCCGGTCACGAGGGTCCAGTCATACAGCAGAGATGACCTTGGCTAATCAGCAGCCCATGCAGGGGCCTCCTGCAGAAAAGCCGCTCTGCTGTTTATGTATTCATTTCAGCCTCAGCCCCATGGGCTGCTGCTCCTTTTCTACCTCTGCTGGGTTTCCTCTCTGTTTGAGCTCCTGCTTTTCTGTATTTCTGCTTTTGTCACTATTGTTTTTTTGGCCCCATTGACCCACTGCGCACACGCACACACACAGATAATGCACATTCATGTTTTTATAAAGGAAATGAAGACGGAGCAGAGAAAAAAGGAAGAGGAGGAGCAGCGGGTGGTGCAAGCTCTGGAGGAGGAGAAAGAGGGATTAAGGTCCCGCTGCGCTGCCCTGAGCGCTGACCTGCAGGAGAAACAGAGGCAGGCCGACAGTCAGCGAGACGAGAGGGACGCCGCCCAGGCCAGATTAAAGGTTGGAAACACGGGGACAAGTCCTTTCAGAAACACGCAAACCTTGAACTTTCCGGTCCCTCCGACTCTCTGCCCCTCAACCTGTGAACATAACTAGATCCTCAAAGTACAGAGAGAAGATATTATAGTTCCTCCTGCCTTTGGAGAAAAAATGATTGGACTCAGACTCAGTACATTTAATAAATTGTTGGTTTTTGACTCTTTACTAGTGTTTTAGGGTTTCCTTTAGGGCTGAAACAGTTAATCAGATTAATCGTGATCAATTGATTATTGAAATAATCATCAACTAATTAAGTAATCTATTAATCGTTAACCCAAGACTTTTAAAACATGCTTTTAGCTCACAGAGCAACCCACTCAGAGCAGTAAATATATCAACATTGGAAAAAATATATAAACATTTTGCATACAAGATTAAAAAAAACCTTTTCATCTGTCAGTAAGCGCTATAACTCCTCAATTGGAAACGTTTTAGGTTCACCTGGTTTAATTTCATAAAGAAAATCCTTTAAGAAAGATGAAGAGTGGGAGCAAGTATGTATAACTGGACATAAACTGACTAACAGCCCAACATGGAAAGGATTTTATTGGAAAATAATCGTTAGATATTTCAAAACTCCGTACATTATTTCCAAATTTGATCAAACTAAATCAAATTTGTGCTGGAGACAATGTGGAATAGTTGGAGATCAGACTCCTGTCTTTTTGGATTGCCCAAAGATGAAGAAATTCTGGGAGGGAATTAGAGAGGAAATTTCAAATATCTTACATGCTGATATTGATTGGAATCCCCGGATCTTTGTTCTGGGAATTCCACCAAATAATTTAAGTAAAGAAGAGCAATACGTATTTGGTATCCTTGTTCTCGTAGCCAAAAAAATGATAACAATATGTTAGTATAAACCTTCACTCTCTACTGTAAATCAATGGAAAGAGAAACTAGTGAATATTTATATGATGGAGAAAATAACAGCAAAATTAAACTTGTCCACTGGTCTATTTGAGAAAAGATGGAACCCTTTGAAGACATATTTCCAGTTAATATGGTAGTAAGATAAGCGTAAACACACATCTCTGTTATGATAAAAATAAAAGTCACTCGAGAAAGATCTTTCCTTTGTCTCATCCTCCAAGTAAAAAATATATATATATAAAATAAAAAAATATATATAATAATGATAAAAAATAAAAATAAAAAATAAATAAAATGGATCTTCAGCTCGCCGACCTGTTTGGTTGTTGTTACCCAATTTTTTGTATGGTTGTATTGAAATTGTTTTTTCTGGCTTATTGTATGAATCATTTATTTTCTGATTATTGAGCTGATAAAATAAAGTCTTTGTTCAAAAAAAAAAAAAATCCTTTAAGGAATCTTTGACTACCTGATTATTGATTAATTGAAAAAAATAATAGACAGATTAATTGATTTGCAAAATAATCGTTGGATGCAGTGCTAGTTTACGTAATGATTGAATTTTCCTTCCTGAGTAAAAATCTATTAACTTATCATTATACTTTAAATACTCATCGGCTCAGAACATCCGAGGCACATTCAGGCCCTGAATGATGGAGTTGTTTTCAGAGCATTGACCCAAATTCAGCCATATTTTTATTTAACAGCACTTTAGTTTGTGCCTTGGTCTTAAATTCATTGTAGACTTAAGATTTGTCAAGTTTAACTAAATGAGGTTTGCAGAAACGCTGAATATGGACGGCCTATACCATAATTATCAGGTTTCTAAGTTGCAGAAGAGACTTTAAAAATAGACTTGATCTCTTCCATCAGGATCTGGAGAAAGTGCTTGAAACGGCTCGGCAGGAGCTGCCTGAACTGCAGGCTCGCTGTGCCGCTTTGGCTGCACAGCTTTTTTCCACAGAGAGGGAGTTAGCCACCAAACAAGAGCAACTTGATGGAGTACGGTGAGTTCAATCAGCTGCAAAAGCGTCTGTGATGTTGTGAAGCAGGTTAAAGGAAGTGTGGTGTAAACAGAGGATGTATTCCTCTCATTGCTGTGAGCGTAAGGGGGGGGGTGACACACATTTCTTCGTGTCTGGCTCACCTAAAGCCATTTGATAAGCCCTGCATAGTAGATGTGCTTTAAAGGAGGGGAGAAGGGAAACAGGGCAGGCTTTCACTAAGCTTTAGTCGATATTATAGAAACTGACAGAACTGTAGAAGCTTTAATGGTAATCTCTGTCTTTTTTTTCTTTTACTGCTTCTTGGTTTTAATGCCAGAGACACCCTGACATGTCAGTCACCCTAGAACTACAGAGTTTGACGTTTGTGGGACTTTCAGTGACCTCATCAGTATCTAGGATCACTTTATCCTTATTGGTGTTGCTGCTTTTAAAACCCAGAGAGTCGAGTGATAAGACAAAGTAAATATTTTCACTGATCTTCACTGAGTTTTTTAATTTATAAAGTATATTCACAATCCCATAAAATGTTTTCAGGTAAGTGTATTAATTGTCTGCTTTTTTTTAATCTGAATTATGATTTATATCAGAGAGAAGAAACCCACACTGACTAGAAGGTTTTTGTAGAATAAAATGGAAACTTTAATTTGTAGGAATCTTGTAAAAAGAAGCTTCTTTGGTTGAACATTTCTGCAGCAGGTTTTACAGCCTGACTCAAGACTAAAGTTAGTTTATTCTGCATTTGTGTTTGCAGGCGTGATTTCGCTGAAGTTCAAGCTCTATACAGACAAAGCATGGAGCACGCAGCAGATCAGAGCCGCCTGATCAAGCAGCTGGAGGGACTCAACCTGGATACCCAGAGAGTCCTGAGGAACCAGGAGGAGGCTCACTCTGCTGACACCACCTCCTATCAAAAGGTATTTTCACGAAGCTTTTCTCTCAATAGAGCGGCTTTGTTGAACAGTCCTTAGCCATCGGTTCGGATCTTCTACAAACTTCCATCCTGGGAGAGCCGATCAGATCTTGGTGGAGATAAATGCAGGAGGTCTTGACGTCTGCAGCAGTCCGTGGACTGCTCCGTCTTTCTGAAAAATACAGCAATCAAAGCAGAAAATAAAGATCAGGCAGTAAAAGGCAGGAGTCAGACTAAAACAACTCATTCTGTGCATTTTAGAACAGTTACAAGTGCTTTAATCTTTCACATGTTTGCACACTTATAGCAAGATCATAAGATTAGCTCGAGGGCTGGGAGAAAGTTGAGCCTCTGAACATTGAGATGGATGAATCCTGCTATTGCTGGCAGCAGGATGAAGGAACTATATGATGGGCGGGAGGAACAACCTACAATATGTAGGTCTTCAGGGTGAGAGGAGGATGTTGATGTCCAACAGGGCGGGGAGAGGGTCTCCATTGATCTAACCTGAAGCTTCGGCTATATGCTGTAGGGCAGAGGTCACGGATTAGCAGACCAGGGTCTGGATCCGGACTCACCTGCTGGCTAATCTGGACCAAACCTGATTTAAAACATTTATAAATTACTGCATTTTGTCCGACAGCAGTGTCTGACTTCACTTGCGCCGCTTCTCCTGTTAACATGGTAAAGCCACCCGAGCGTCTGGCACCAGGCTACATGTCATACAGATTAGCCAATGAGTCAGTCTGGGTCAGAATTCAAACTTCTGAAAGTACTTTAAATAAAAAAATATTACATAAGGTAAAAAAAAATGATGAGTTTTTTTGATTGAGAGTTATTTTCATTTGTATGTGCTTTATTGGAGGCATCCATGTTTGTCAAAGAACACTACTGCCACCTACTGGTTTGTGACGTCACGGTGTGGTATCGGCTGTTGATCAAGTCCCAGTGCTGTATCTGGTGTTTGACACGACGCGCTATGATCCAAGTCATCTTGAAAACATTCTTCTTCCAAATGTTGGCTACATATTATGTGTTTTTTTCTCTGGCGAGACGTTTGATGGTAAATCGAACCCGTCCCCGGAGGATCATGAAATGGAAAGGTGAAATAACTAATTTTTCTTTTATTTTTTTTAAAGATTAACACTAAATTCATGAAACCACCGTGAACGTATTAGTTTTGGTATAATTAATGATCCATTGATCGTTCCTTGCCGACCGGACTTTTCCTTTAAACAACAACAAAATGTCTTCAATCAGAGGCTTCTCCGGATCCGGTGGAAGACAGACCGCTACAGAAGATCCTTCCTGCCTACAGCTATCAACACCTACAACACCTGGTTACTGTAACATTTCATTTCCCTTTGGGATTAATAAAGTATTTTTGAATTGAATTGAAGGTTTGGAGTGTACTGGATCACTTAGCAAAAAGTATCTTTTTCCAGTTTTGATAGTCCATTTACATAATTTTACCAAAAAGCAGAACGCTTTAGGAAACTCAGAAAAAGAGAGCTTTACATTCTCCACACAACCATTCAATCAAAATATATAACATTTATTATTCTGACCACGACCTGCAGGACTAAACTTTATAATGATCAAAATTAAACCAGCCTTCTAGATTAGAAGAAAAAATATCACTAAAAGACAAAAGCAGAAGTCCAGTTGGGTTTATTTCTCATATCCCGGATCCTTGTGAATTAACACCATGTTATAAATCCTCCAGTCGTCCATACAGGCTAATCCTATATGCTTCCTGCTCAGCTGGGACATTTAAATCTGTCTCAGTTTTTTCCATTTAAAGCTCTCCTCTCCTGTCGAATTCTTTTAAGCATATTTTTTATGCATCTATTATTACCAGAAATTTATCCCAATGGTTTAATCTTTAGTTCCTATGGAAAATATGTTGTCTCTTTAGTTCCATCTGATCTCTGACTGGCCCCTGTCTCCCATTTCCTGTTTGTTCACAGCTCTACAAGGAGCTGAGTCAATGCTACCAGGCTCTGGTGTCTAGCGATGCTAAACTCCGTCAGAGTCACCAGGAGCTCCGCACCCAGGTGGTCCAGAAAGACGAGCAGATCTCTGAACTCCAAGCTCAGCTGCAGAAACAACAAGAACAAGTGCAACTCCAGCAGCATCCCGCTCGGCACGCGGCTCTGTCAACAAACAGACAAACCAACCTCAAGGTAGACTCCTCGCTGAAGGATAACCTCTGCCACTCAACTAGCACCTGTAGCGTGATGCTTTAAGTAGCACATGATTATTCCTCTCTCTAAGCAGCACTGGATGTTTTTCAGTGGTTAACTGTGATTGGCAGGTGAGCTGGTTTTCCTCTGGCTGGTGACTGAACGTCATCCCTCCCAGAAACCTCCTGTATTACCTGACCCATCCCAGCTTGGCCTGTAGTGGTGGTCTATAACCAAGAATCTTCCTTTGATATCGCTCCAGCTCACCCTTGATCTATCCGTCTGTCTTTGCTCTGCAGCCTTTTATGTCAGTTATCTGATCCTCTCTCAGACCTAGGGACAGACAGACTCTCTGATTTACCTACTTTACCAGTCTTCTTTATCTTCCACCTCCCAAGTAACTTTAAGTCCTTTTAACACTCTGGTCAGAAAAGAAAGACAGAAAAGAGGTGATTTGAATTGAGGCCAGTTACGTTCTTGAAGATGATGTTAGAGTTACAGTTCTACATCTGTCAATCGGCGGGGGTTTGACTTCACTTCTGCTCCTTTGAAGCGTCACCCCAAGGCGATACACACCTTTAATAGCATTTAATGATATGGTGATGGGGGGCTTAGACCACCCAGCTGGCTTAGAAGAGCAGGAGTGGTGTCATACTTTGACTGTTTTTAACTTAAATTCAGGCAGAATATTTACACATTTGAAGTAACTGATGGAAACAAAGATTCACTTGCATGTCATGGTGATCAGCACAGCAGAAGGAGTCAGGAATGATATTATGGCCGCAGCTATAGATTATTTTATTAATTTATTAAATGTATATTTTGTTTAACAATCAGAGAACAAATGTCCCTAAATGGTGTCTTTTTTTAAAGGGACTGAATGAAGTGAAGTTAAGGACAGATAAGGAGTAATGGATGCAGAATTTTTTTATAAAATTGTTTTTTAATGCATTTATTTTTTTGACCTGTTTTTCCTCCCACACTGTTTACATTTGATCAGTGCTGCACTTTAAGAAATGGAAATATCATGATAGCTGTACAAAACAAAATTCTGTTTTGTTTACACTGTGTGTACAAAACAATAATGAAAGTTGTCTAAGTCTGAACAAGGGAGTCTGAAATCTAATTGTTCCATTGTCCACAACCGTAAAATAACACTACTTCCACGTCCAGTTGAGTGGAACTGAGGTGCAGTGAACGACTCTGAGGATATAAACTCTGTAGCGATACCTTCCAGCGGTGCTGCTCTGGCGGGAAACTGCTGTGCGTCCCTAGAAATTCCAGACCGACGGTGCAGAAGCATACTAGCAAAACCTGTTTGCGACCAAACCCAAGCGACATTTGATGTTTGCGGTTGCAGAAGTATAATCTGCCCTTAAAGGGATAGTTCGGTATTTTTGACATGAATCTGTATGGCATCCCCATCACCAGTGTCATGCAATCACACTGACTTACCCCTGGCAGCGTCCTGTGAGCAGAGTTCTCGTCCAGTTTTGGTCAAGCCAAAAGTAGTCCGGCAGGTTTGCTAGACCCAGCGAAATAAAACGTTTCTCTTCCCAAAACATTATGTGTTCAAAAGAGTGATATTTTTGCATCCCAAAAACGTTGTAGTGGAGAAAGTCACACGTCGTTATCACTTGGTCCTATTTTCTCTCTGTTCGTATCAGTGCGCGCCGTCATTCTGACAGCGAGCTCAACAACAGCCAGATGCATGTCTCCCTCCGCCTAGCTCCTAGCTGGGCGGAGGGAGACATGCATCTGGCTGTTGTCAGGTTAGTAGGCCCTAGCTGTCTGAATGATGGCGCGCACTGATACGAACAGAGAGAAAATAGGACCAAGTGATAACGACGTGTGACTTTTTCCACTACAATGTTTTTGGGATGCAAAAATATCACTCTTTTGAACACATAATGTTTTGGGAAGAGAAACGTTTTATTTCGCTGGGTCTAGCAAACCTGCCGGACTACTTTTGGCTTGACCAAAGCTGGACGAGAACTCTGCTCACAGGACGCTGCCAGGGGTAAGTCAGTGTGATTGCATGACACTGGTGATGGGGATGCCATACAGATTCATGTCAAAAATACCGAACTATCCCTTTAAGGCTACGTTCACACAACAGCATGACACAAATCTGATATCTTTGCCCATATGCAATCTTTTTTTTTCATGACAGTCTGAACAACACATCTAAGTTTTTCCAATGCAATCCAGGCCACTTGGTTATGTGGTCCTGAATCCGATACATGTCTGATCTTTTCAAATGCGACCTGTTTCTGAACAGCCTGGTCACATTCATCCGACCTGAGCGCCATTAATACTCAACAAAAGTCACTGTTCTGCATCTTGCTTCGCAGAAGGGGGAAGAAAACCAACCGCTATGGCGGATGGTAAAGTGGACAGCTGTCCTTTTTTTTCAACCTTCTTGAAATATTGTATTGTTAATGCACTGATTGAGGTTGGGAAAGAAATGAAAGACTGCAAGATGAACTCCAGCACTACCATCCTTTTATAAATACAGAGCATGCTTGCTTATGACGTTATTGCATCCTCTGCAGGAATGTATGAATGCAGTTCACACAGGAGATCACATACAAGTCGCATATATTTGGAAATGTGAACAAACACACAAAAGAATTGGATCTCCCAAAAATTCTGAATTGAGCATCAAGGCCTGCAGTGTGAACGTGACCTAAGTATCGACTAATCTTCCAGAATCAAGGAAATCGAGGCAAATGGTAGGTCCCTGATAAAAACTGTAAATTCTGTTTACAAGACAAATTTCATCCTGAAAACAAATATGCAACTGTAAGGGTTCAAATGTACAATATTTATTCAATCAGAAATAAATGGTAAACTTTCATGCTTTTTAAGAGTTTTTGAACCTAACTTAACATCATAGATATAGACTGGATAGACTGTGAATTGGGCCCGTTGTTTTACCGCTACCCAATTTAGACGTCCGTATCAGAAGTGATATTGATGTATAAATATCACATTAGTGCATCCCTAGCTCCAAAAGACAGTTTCAACAGTTTTAGGGCTGAACGATGTTTCAAGACATAGTCATCTTTGCTGTGTCAGTGAATGCACCACACAGAAGTTAAAAAGGATTGTTTGGATGTATAATACTAAACCTCTTCATCCAGACTCTAGGATTCCATTTTCTAAATGAAATACAACCTTTAACTTTAATCTGAAATGTTGACTTTGCACAACAGATGGTTGTGCAGATTGATGAGACGCCTCTGCAGAACTCGATGAATATTGTAGTTTGTAAGATTAACAATTGTAAGATGTTTAAGCGTAACGAAAGATTTCAGTTAGTTTTTTTTCTATCTACTCTCAAATTTTTTTAGGTCAGGAAATAACTTGATGTACTTCAAAAAGTGTAAGATGTATAACCGAACAGTGGTTTTTAAACTATTCATCTATTTGTCTATACTGGATTGTGGAGCTGGTGCCTCCCTCTAGCTGTCTACAGGCGTGAGGCCGAGTCACCTCTCCCTCACAGGAAACTTAGCCCATGTGGTCTTTGAACAAAGAAGTGGCGTATTTAAGAAATAGAAGATTGTGTGATGGATTGACAGATTTTACATGTCATTTTCAACATCAGACTTGTGCACACTGTCTGATGACCCTGAAAGAAAACATACTCTCTATATTCTGTCTCCTCTTTGACGTATACATGTTACATCACACATACTTACTTCATGCATATAAGATCCAGTTAGAAACGAGAAGAAAACCTCATTCCAATGAAGGATCCTTTAAAATCAAACAAAACGTTCAAGTGTTGGTACATTGGACAGCAGTGTGCAGAGGACTGCAGCATCTGATACTTACCATCGTTTACAGAATTATAAGCAGGCTCAGGGTGAAGGCCACACAAATAGTTTATTGGACACTGCAGGACGCAGCAGTTTGCATTAGAAGTCTCCTAATCTGCTCTAACTCAATTCGGTTGGAACGGCATCCTATCTCAGCTTAAGATAACATTTTCCAGGAGTCGTGCAATATCTCTCCCTCCACAGACAGTAATTATTTAATTTGATCATCGGTTGATATTTTCAGAAATTGCTGCCCCCCAGACTGTGGAAGTCAAAAGATATCAGCTCAAATGTTAAGTGAGTTACAATCAGCGTATCTCACTTAACCCGGTTAATTAAACTAGCAGTAAAGTCTAAATGGTTCATTTAGTCGGTAATTAAATACAGTTCTGCAGTGTTCCCTCAGTAATTAATACTACAGTACATTTAGAGGAGATGCAGATAGTGTGTGGATGTGTGTTTGAATCGGGGCTAAGCTTCTGCATATATGTTGTTAATACACTGAATATCCTTTTTGGCTAATTTAGGGTCTAAACGGAACTTGGCTTGAAACAAAATATTTACAAAAACAACCATTAGTAGAGGCTAAACTAATTTAGCTTTAATTGAGCAAGACGTCCTACAAAGTAAGAAGCTGATTTGATTTGATGAGTTGATGTCGCAGGATATACAGATGGAAAAGTGATGTTACTTTCTTTTATTAGGATTTTATGTGATCGAGATCACTGTGTAGTTGTGATGAGGTGTGCGATAGCGTTGTTCAAACGATAAATGATATTTTTGAAAGAAGGCAAAATAAAATTTATTGATCCACATCGTCATCTTTAAGTTACACCTTTATTTTGAAATTCTCAAAGATGTGAAAAGATGATCTCGTATTATCAACATTTTGTGTTATTTAAATGCATTATGCCTGAAAGAGCTCAGAAATAAAACGGTCAAATCTGAAGATCGACAGATAAATGTTTTTTTACAGGTTTTTCATATCGCTATAACCGATCCCCGATATATGCTGCTGAATTCTTTGGGTCAATTATTTAAACTATTATTGTTTTTTGTTTCCTTTCATTTACGGGATAAAAATAACACGATAACAATTGTTTAACTGGTCTCAGTTTAATGTGAGTTTTTACTTATTTTATTTTTTATTGGATCATTCACAACTAAAACATT